TAGCTACCAGTTAATTTCCATCGGCAGTTTCCGGGCAGATAAAAAACAGTAAGATGCAGTTAAAATCAGTCAGCAAAGCACACAGACAAATATTTCCCTGCTCACACATTTATGCACATACACACATATAAGGACCCATGGAAGTAAAAGATGAACAACACAAGTATCAAAATGTTAATCACTCAAAAAGTGACTCTAATATAATCAACCAAACCACTATTATCTGCTGGTGCCATAACTTAGGAATATAATATTTTTGTGTGTACAAGGTTTTTAATTTCTCATCATGCAAAGTAACAAAAGGGTGGATTTTGACTAAAAACTCAGTTAGTGGCCTGCTGGGACTGAACTAATATAACTGATGGTTTGTACTGAGTCAGAATGCTAGATTAGCTTATACATATTTTAAAATTTAGGGAAGAGATTTACTCTACTCTTTAAGGCGATGATATGTAAAATTCCGATTCTGAATTCTTCCATGATGCATATGGAAATAGGAAGTTTTTGTGTCATTTACTTGGGGATAAAACACATTTGAGACAGAATCTGAGGTTGTATTTGACTGGATTTCTTCCCCTCCGTCTGATTGTGCGTATTACAACATTGTGAAAGTGCATTGAAATGAGAGTCTGCATGCTATTGTATCTGCTCTGTGGCTGTGATGCTATCAGGATCCCACTTCTCAGTATTATTTGTGGTGTGTCAGTTCCTCACAGTGCGCGACCGCAGTGAGGCTATTTCTCCCAACCTTCAATTCAAACTTGGCCCATTACAGCCAGACTACAAAAGCACTTTCCGTGCACTCAGGAGCTCACGGCAGTGAATGGTGGATATTTCCAATCACTCTGCTGTCAATCCAAATGTCAGGTAAACACAGGCCAATGGAAACAGCTTTAGAAAAACCTTGCAGCTACGTCTGTCTTACTCCAGGAGTCCTTGGAAACGTATCAACAATTTCTACAGACCTCGAAGTTAAAGGGAAGAGTCAAATATCCTAAAAACAACACAAATTCAACACTCTGGTGGATGCAGTGGCCTACAAGAGGCAGGTTACTGCTCTTGTGTTTGTCTTTAAACCTGTGAGTATTCTCTAGAGCCATAGCTACAAACAAAGGAAATTAGATTGTATTGACAAATCTTGTATGCACCTCATGAGATGAATCTGAAATCTGCAGAGCAGTTACCCAGTGGACGTTTCAGTTTGTCTGTAAAAGTTCAGTGTAGCATGGGCATAAATGACCTTTTAACTACATGAGCGAGGACCTTTAAAATACTATGCAAATGCAATGTTTTATTAACAAACTCTATGAAATTATAGTTGAAAGTCTATAAAAGCAAAGCAGTCTGTTGCAATGCAAAAGCTTCTCTGCAGCAGCTTCTAGGAGTGGACATTGCTTATGTGGCACATAGTAGAAATAAGAAAGATAACTGAGTGAGTCCACAATGGCTCTGAGTGTTTCGTATTAACATATTGACAGTTGTTTTCATGAAGGCCAGTCCAAGAGAGAGTGACCCCACGGAGAGAAACGGCCCTACTGGGGGCACTGTAAATGGGTCCAGAGAGAGAAAATTGAAACTGGTGCAGCATGAAGAAGTGTGGATGGAATATCAAATGTGTGTCAGACACAACTATGAAGCACCCGAGACAGGAACAATCATACCGTTCTTTGTCAGAGGCGCTTTATACAATGAGGGCTGAGGTTAAACGTAGCTACTAGAAAACTTTTTATGATATTCTTATTGTGGAAGTTCAACATCCTGTCAACACAGAGGATGTGTGGATGCATTTCCCATTTGGGATCACAATCGAACCTATGAATTTTTTTTAAACATATAAGTATAGACGGTTCTTTGATAGTAGATTGCATGGCACAAAAGCAAAGGTTAAACAACGACAAGCAGGCACAAAGGTGGAAAGTATGAAAAGATATACATTTACAAACATAAACAGCAGCTAGACAACCAGCAGTGCGGTAAACAGTGGAGCAAGGGTGCAGCACAGAGTTCAGCAATGTGGTATAAGTTTCTCAGATACACATTATGTGTCATTGTGGAGTAGATTCAACCTGACAGCATAACCGAAAAGTCACCATTGTTTAACAGAGTAAAAACATTTTATTGAGAAGAATGAAGTATAAGTAGCAGAAAAGCCAAAATGCAGCGTTTCCATATGAGGACACAACGTCTCAGGTGGTTAAACTTGGTGGCCACTTAAACAGTTACAGCTACACAATTAAATGTAATGCAGTTCCACATTTTTGCATAGTAAATAATGCCTGGCATTATGTTCAGTAATAACAAAATAGAGGACACAAAACACCTAGTCCAGTGCAACACCTTTACTTGTCACCTTTATATATCAATTATAAGATTATGATTATGATTACGGATTTTAAACTATTATTAATTATAGTTTCAGAGCTGGTGCTCTGAATTGCAATAGATTTTGCAGGTTTGTGTAATTAAGAGGCCAGTATATATGCACAGCAGTTAAAGCAGCACGTAACAGTAAAGGTGGGAAGATGCACAGGAGTCGTTTCTTGGACATTACATAGGCGATGTAGCCGTTTATTGTTTAAATGATGGTTTGCTGCATTTTGTGTGATAGTTTAAACACCTAACTTGTTATTAAGACTGCGACCATGATGGCACAGAAAGGAGATTTGTGATGTGGCAACAATAAAGAAAAAGAGAAACTGAATTCCAGAGGTTATGATTTAAACACTCTTTTCTAAGTTTCCTCTCAGCTGTTTATGGCATTCTTTTCACTCAGCGCTGCGTTGGACAGTATTTTATCACCCTGACTGTGGGAGCAATAAATCAAAGCATGGTAGTTCAACATGAATGAGAGGAAACGTTTGCATGAAGTATCATATGTGAATGTAAACTTTTTTCCCCTCCTTAAAGTCCAATCCTGCTTCCGTATTACCTCGATTCAGCGTACGGCATTTGGCACACAGAGAAGTCACACAATAGCAGCAATTACAACATGGCAACATTTTTATTGTTATCCAAAATAGAGATAATTTCCTCACTGTAATAATATGATACAGCATGTTTATAATAACCATTGAATTTCCCAACACAATCCCTTGTGTGTAGTTACTGCTCTGAAAAATGCCATAGTTATTTATATGTTTATTTGTTATAAGTCACACATTCCGTTAAAAAAAAAAAAAAAATCTCTTCAAAGCTCTTTGGTGTCCGTGTGATTTACAACAGCAGGCCGCAGTCTGTTTTGTTGGGTGTGTGTTTTAAAGTGAGCTTTCCACTCTGTGTCCTTCTTGGTTTGATGCCACTGTGGTTTGCCTCAGGGCAGAGTGGCACCACTTGATTGATGGTGCTGACGGCACATTTGTACCAGCAGAGATTCTGTCACATTTCTGGGCTCGTTTCATGAGCCCTGCTGGGCAGTTTTTACTGTCCTACCTATGTCACCCGATAATGTTTATGGATACTTAAACAAGCGTTTGTTTTTGCTATTAACTGTGAGGTTGCGCATATATATATATATATATATATATATATATTATAATGTGTTCCATGATGTCAGGACACCCAATAAGTTTATAATTTATGAATCCTTGCTTCTTCTGTGACAGCAAAATTATTGGTATCAAATCCTGAAACAGCATGTTGAGGACTTTTTCGCTCTGGTGTTTTGTTCCTATACTGCATCTGCATGATTCTAAATAGCTTTATTACTTGCCCTGAAAGGATTTATTGTCACTTTATGAAAAACAAAATACTCCATGACCCAGACCGCTGGGAACAACTCATCAATCCCCGAGCCTCAAAACTGCAGCAGATGAATAATCTTCTGTGTTGGGTTTAGGTTGGCCAACACCAATACCACCCCGAGAAGAATGCAAAAACAGTTTAGTCTCAAGCCCCCATTGTGCTCTCCAGAGGATTTGTATGGTTTCACTTAGAAACCAGTCAACTCAAAGCAGTCCATCGTAAAAGCATATACTGTACGCGAGAGCTCTAAGTGTTGGTAGCAATAACATTCTTGGTCTGCTGCAAGAAATTTCAGTGATTAAAACCACTGGTTAATGGTAAAGCTACCAAGAAAAATAAGCACAATGTTATTTGATACACATGTTGTCATCCGTCATTCTTTCTAAGTAACCACAATAAACACTATCCTATATTTTGCCACTGATCTCAAACTCTGAAAACTATAATCCACCTTATTTCCATGACAAACACTATGCTTTGTAGTGCGAGCACAGGCTCCACTCCATAAAACATCCCATCCAAAAAACTTGGATATGCAATACTCTTTCTGAAAAATGACCATTTTTATTCAATCTTTTTGTTCCCATCAAAAAGCCATTTTTTTCTCCGCAGTCTTAATGGTTACAAGATATTCAGCAAAGCACTGCTGATCTGCAGCTCTTTGTTCGGACTCCCACGGAGAATACAATCTTACTTTGGAGCACTGCGGCTGCAGCCATACAATTCCATCAGCATAAACGCTTCACAAACACTTACACACAAAGTATAGGGGGTGAGAAAAACACTACTTCAGACAACAGGAATCGTTTTCTGGTTGTGCTTGTGGATTGTATCAACTTCTATTTTCATACCATACAGAATATACTAAAAGCTGGAGTTTTTTTTGGGTTTTTTTTGTAAAAATATGGCTTGTATGAATATTTCTTGGATTTTTTTTTGTGTGTGTGCAGATGTGTATTTGTTGTTCAAGGATGGGAGTAGGAAACTTTAAACATAAAAAATGTGCTATTCTTATTTTTTTGTTTTTTGAGTCCAAAAGCTGGTGGCATAGTGAAAGAGAGCACATGTATAATATCATACAATAATGTCATAAAAATGATAAATGAAAGGTTAACTCAGTCTCTTTGCAAATAATCATTTAAAGTGACCACTTCTTTTGGCCAAGACACCTGCATCCAGCATGTGCCCTTCCAAAATCAGCCTCAGTTAACAGATTTAATTATAATTGTCCCCTCTATGCTACAGTCAGTGTCAGCTGTGTCTTTTAATTCTCTAATCAGTGGTCGGCAGGACCGCTATCACTATCCCCATGCAGCTTCCCACTCAATACAGACATCCCAAAACACACACAGACTGGTTTTGTCAAATGTTTTATTGAGTGTAGACATCTGGGCTACTGTAAAACATGCATTATCTGCAGAAGGGGGAGAGGAGCAGGTGGCATTGTCCCCGCTGTCAGCTGTGTCAGTGCTGGCACCCGTGATGGAGATTAATGAAGTATCTGGAGAGTAATATGCTCCTTCAAATGCTGCTACAATTTGGAGTGGGGGCCGATCCTGATCTTAAATAGCAAAGCTGTCAGAGTTTACTGAACCTGTGCCTTGGCACACGAGTGGGGGATTCAGTCCTACAGCATGGAAAACAAAAAGTGTAAAAGTGGCCAGATATAAGGCAACAATACAGTCAGTTGCGCAAACAAACGCATTGTTCTTGCGTCACTTTTTCTTTGGTGCGTTCGGCGCGTTGAATTTAAAAAAGATGATGTCTCCATCCTCGACGATGTAGTTTCTTCCCTGCTGTCTGTATTTACCAGCTGCCTGTGGGGTTAAAAAATAAAAAGAATCATTAAAATAATATAAAGGATTGTAAGCTGTATGCTAAGAAATAGCTAGTCTGTCATGTGGATGAACTCCAACAGATTAAAAACTCTTTATAATTTAAATAATATTAGAAAAGATGTAACTTGAACTAAAATTACACTTGCAAATGTTCATCTACACATGCATACACACACACACACGCCTGCACAGGCGCACGCACGCACACACAAGTGCACGCATGTTTTGTTTGAGGGGTGCCTGAATTCCCACTGAGTGATAATCCTCTCTTCTGCCCATTTCAGTTTCATGTGCACAAGCACAAAATGTTAATAAGTCTTTGATTACAGCACTATAAAACTTCTCAAGGAAACAAAATAAGTTCTAACATTTCTTTTGTGTACAGTAAGTGTTTGTTCTCCTTCCCGGCAAACTCAAAATAATTGACTTGAAGTGCTAATACGGACAGGTTTATGCATTCTGGTTCTGCACAGTGCACAATTAATTAGAAGAATCAATGTCCCTTTAAAGGCTCAGGAGACCATTTAATCCAAGCTCAATACCACCAGAAACACTGGATGGAGAGGGAGACAGGAAAAAAAATCAATGGCTATTTGTGATTCCTGAGTATGTATTAAACCAGACACGTCTAACTGGTTCATTTGCACTTGAAAGCAGCCATCTGGAGCAGCAAGCTTGGCTTAAGCAGATATGATTACTAATAATGTGATATCCCTGTACACTGGCCCTATTCAGACAGCCTATTCCCACAACTGGCATTAAATAGCATGGACCTTAATGCCACAGTCAGAAACGCTCCATGTTTTTCCGAGACTCAAAAAGGGATTAGTAAGAGAGCATGCAGTAAGGACCTGACACTGAGATCTCAACCTCTGATAACAATGGCGAAACCCCCCAGAGACTTACATATTTCGCTCTCTTTTTGCAGCTTATGGAGGGTGTGGACAATACACTGCCGATGCATTAAATATCAAATATTTATTAAAAAGGACTTGAATAGCAAGGAGATTTAAATGTTTTTTTTTTTTTAGTGCTTCCTTTCCACACTGGTCCCCGTGGGCCCTTTGTGCCACCATAATTACATTAGTTGAGTCTGTAAGTGGGCACATGGAGTTGATGGTGGTGATAGGGGGATTGCGACAGCATGGCTTACAGCTGCTTCGCACAAGTGTTGCACATAAAATCAGAGTCACTTCTGCTTTAATTAACTGAGATTTAAAAGTAGATTTTTTTTTCTCGTTAAAGAAAATAAATGATTGAAAAAAAGTGCACCTTTAATTTAAAAGGCATCCTACAGTGTTGATGAACTCATTATTAATCGTGTGCATTCGATAAGTTGATTGCAGTTTGCAGATTTTAAACAAATTTTCAATGTCGAAGTACAACTTGGAGCAGGAAAGAAAAGTATTGTGTTGCCTTTAGCAGTGAAATGACTTAATACACTTGATAGGTGTGTCCACACGGTGCAGTTAAAAAGGTCAAAACAAACACTGCCCATAAAAACAGAAGACATGCAAGTCACATTTCTGTGCTGCAAACCATGAAACAGTCCTTATTTAAGGAATTTCACACTTTATTTAACTTGCCGCTTTATATCACTGTCACATGCCTACAGTGGCTTGGGGATTTGGTAACAGAGAGCTCTAAGCTAACAGCGCACTCTGTAGATCTGATAAATGCCTGGTGAGGTGAAGAAGTGCTTCCTTGGAGCGACTGCGCTGAGCCACGAGCAAGAACTACCATCAGCCAGTTAAGACACATTGTGATAAAGATATGCACAGCTGGAGCAGAATGGCAGTGTTTAGAGCCAGAATCAGCTGGCTTGTCAGGAGTGGTGCTGGAGTGTGTGCAGTAATTTCTTCCCCTGAGTAAAGGTGAAGAGCAGTTTTCAGTAGGAGCTGTGTGGCGACTGTCAGCTCCACTGATCACAGGAGACTTCCCCTCATCTCCTCTGGCACCCTGACTGCTCACCTTGACAGCACTCTCGCTGCCTTCCTCTTTAAAATCCTGGAATTTCATTACTTCCGCCATAATGAAGCCCCTCTCAAAGTCTGTGTGGATCTTCCCCGCAGCCTGTGGAGCCTTAGTTCCTTTCTGTCACAAGGAAGGAAAAGAGAGGACAAATGAATTGTTTTGGAGAAGATGGATTACAGCATGCGAGCGACACGGTGTTTGATGGGGTGATAGCGTTGTGATCACTCTGGGGGTGATTTTCAGTCGGGGGTATTCTTGCCTCAGTCCTGATTTCTGGATAGCTTTCCACTCAGTTGTGACCTGCTAGGGTAGCCTGGACACCGATAAGGACCCAGCACTGCTATCAATGCCTCCTGATTCCCATTCCGTGGTGGTATTGATTTCTGTCCAAGCAATCTTGCCTCATTGTGGGTCGCTGCTCGGCTCTCTGGTCATGACAGCAAGAAGACCCAGCGTTGCAGTGAGAAGCAAGCGTGGTATAGACCCCACTGCATCAGGCCTTTACTATTGTGAGAGTTTGGTAATTCAAATTCAGCTCAACCCTTCAGTGATATTTCACTATGTTGAATGTACCCCTGTGACTTTTGGAGTATTATAACTTTTTACATTTACACAGCAGAGATTTTATATTAACTGGAGCTGTTTGAGATTTCAATTTACATGTAGCAGTTTAATAGATGTATAAAATATGTATATATATTTTATATGTTGCACTTTGAGCCCTCTCTAACACTCCAAGACAAAACTGGTGACTGACAAAATGTGCAATTTATATGCGTTGAAATAATGCTGGGTGGAAATGACAAATGACCCAAATAAGTGACGTGGCTGCTGTGCATCATTATGACTCCTGCCTGTCGACCTGCTCGCTCCCTCTCTGCTCTGCAGCTCCGTGCTCAGAAACTGTTGAACAGTTTTAATTATGTATATAATCAGGTTGGGGTCAACATATTTCATGCCAAAAGAATGATGCGTATTTAATGACTCTAATACATTACCATCTACTTGCAATCTCATTGACGGAGTGCTTGTGAGTTTAACTACCATTAATCAGCATCAAGGTTTGTCTATCTGGAGAAAAATAGATTAAGGGAGGGATTTTTTTCATATGGTGCATTACAAGAGATCCACATTGTCCTAGTTAAGAGCTATGCAGAGCAGGCTGATAGATAATGGTCACCTCGAGGCTGCCTAATAAAGCATGTTAAAGGACTTAGGAACACGACATTACTGAGTGTAGTTTTTACAATGCAAGATGTATTGGCTTAATATAGTTACTCACTGATGCTTACCTGACTAAATGCCCCTCATACACAATCAAGGCTGGCTGTAATCAGTTATGCCGAGGAGGACAAGCGTGTTTTCGAGGATGCCTTTGAAGGGTTTTGGGATTTTGCTCTAAATAGCGAGGACATCAGTCATGCTGAGACGTGTGCATCTAAACACGGTGATGTCATCTGACTAAAATGTAACGTGTCTTGTGAGGATGAAGAGTGAGTGAGCTCATCTTCCCCTCTGGGTTGTGCTTAGTTTAAAAATGCTTAGAAAAGAAAAATAAAGGATGAAGCTTGATGTGTGGATGGGTGTCATATAATCTACAACAAAACATTTAACATTCACCCGAAATATGATTTTGGTGAATCGTTTGAAGGTGGCTAAATTTTGTTTCAACCACAATATAAAAGAATTAGGGAAAAAAAAGGAGACCCTGTCTAGTGGAGAGCAGAAATTCATATAGAGCCCATTAAAAAAAAAGTGTCAATTTTTCTCATGTAAAATAAATCAAGTGAACATTATGTTCCTTATAAGAAACATGCAATTTTATTATATATTTATATAAATATATTTAAATGGAGAAAAAGGAAAAATCTTGTGCTTTTTTAAAAAATGTCGTTCTTATTAGTTAAAAAAAGAAACAGGACATTCATCACTGCAATTTGCTATAGCAGATATTACAAATGCATATTGGAGTCCTCTAGGGGATATTTGGAAACCTGTGTATTACTCATAATGTAACTGTCTGAAGCCATGTCTCTATCTAATAATAACAATAATAACAACAATAATAGTAATAATAATGAAGCACGAGATAGCATTTTAAATTAGTGTTTTGTTTGTGTGAAAAATCTATTCATCTTTTCGTGAAGAACAGTGCACTTGTAAATCTTATGCAAAATAATCCACCCATGCACTGAAAAGAAGATGTCTGAAAATAGGCTGAAGCCAATATGAGCTTATTCAAAGTCAAGGGAAAATGATCTTGGTAAAGCTGCATCACACGCAGAACAAACACCCCTATTTATGTGTGTTTTGTAAGTGGACAAGTAATGCCATCTTTGGGCAAGATAAAAAATTTAAGCAGTATTTCCATCAGTGGTCAAATCTGTAACCCGCCCACACATGAGACTTTTTCTACCATTATTGCCTCCACCATCTATAGTGGGCTATTTCAAGATTTTGAACAAATTGAACAACAAAATGTGAACAGTGAACGGTCTCACACTCGGGGAACAAAACCATAATGATCTGCTTGGTGACAAGTTCTTTGAATAGATGCCATTGTGGAAAATTGCAATGCTTTTTTGAAAATGGGACTCCTTTTTCCAAACGGACAAGTTATGTTTATGAGATTGAAAGCATTCTGTATCGTAAAAAAAAAAACATTTAAATTACAATCCTTTGAAATATCTGACGGGATGAAAGAATGGATATGAATTTGTATGACTGAATACAACCCAAATCTTTAGTTGTTGAAGTTTCTCAAAAGTTACTTTGTTGTATTTTTAAACCACCGATATGAACTTATAAATGTTACTCAGACAAAATAGCTTATTATTTCTGCACTCGATACTTCTATCTGCTCAAGGAAAGAAAATATAAGTGCACACAATACCAACATGCAAAGCAAACATCTGTATTGATGTAAATGCTGTGATCCCATTGCACAAAGCTCTTGGCGGGCTGGGCTCAGTAAACTGAGACACACGAGGAGGAGGAGCCCCCAGCAAGGCCCACAAACAGTCGAATGAAAAGCGACATCAATTTTGGCACAGACAACCTCCGTCACACAGATTAGGCAGGCACAATGCACGGGCTCCTTATCTCCAGCGGCAGGAGGAGGGCAGGCAGATCTGCACAGGATGGAAACATTCTCATGGACGTAATGGGCAAAATCAATTGTTGCCCTCCTCAATCAATGTAGCCCCCACTTTCACTGTTCAGCAGCTCACCAGTAATTGAAGTTATCCTTGGTCTGTAATGACTAGCTAAAGCACAACCATGACAAAGTTGAAAGTGTGCGATATCAGTGAAGGTGCCAGCAGGGTGGAACATGGGATACTGTGTGTATTCGTGTGTGTGTGTGTGAGTCTGATGCACACGCTCACATGTACGTATGCGCACAGCAGGCAGCTGGCACTTACCCGAATGGTCCATGCACGGACCTCATCTGGTCCAGCAGTGAAGAAGTACTCCAGCTGCAGGGCTGCGTAGCCTGCCTTGATGATCTTGCTCACGGCACTGGTGGGGAGAGATTTCAGCTTGAATCGAGGGGTCTGAACTGTTTAAGTATTCTTTATCGCTGCTGATGCCTAGACAGAGTTCACCTCAATGGCAAGGCCCCATTCATTCCAATATAAACTCATTAAGTGAATAAGATGGGTCACTTCGTTTCGCAAAAGACATTCAACTCTCCAATGGTTTCTTTGATTAATTAGGAGGCTTGTAGACTCATTTAACATTTTTAAGAATTCAACCCAATGCCTCGATCTTTGCTGAGAGAAAGAAGGGGGAAAAAAATCTGCTGTCACAATTTTTCTCTCCATAGAGGTTTTCACACAAGAACAATAAACCCAAAATGCCCAAGTTATAATTATACCTAGAGATGACAGATGACAGTTAAAAACTTAATTTAGAGGAAAACCCTTTGACTGAGTTGTTCAGTAAGAAGAGGGATCCTTTGCTTTATAATGGTAATTACTCTGCCATTTATTATTCTATCAGCACATGCAATTAAAGGAGTGCATGGAGGACACAGCTGATAATAAAGTGTGGGGAGACTGAATGCTAATTAACCTCTGCGTCTTGTGCTCTGTGCAGTACTTCTGCCTCTCCTCTTCACTCTTGTCCTGCAGCAGGCTCTCTAGGCCGCCACTAAAGGGGATGACCAAGGCTCCGGGGTCATGACTGTCCACCCACTCCTTGATTTTCACCAACCTGATTAAAAAAGAAGAAAAAAAGAAAAACAGCATTCGCAAAACACGTTGGAGGACTTGATTAACATGAACGTATTTGTTATTCGCTGCATGCATGCATATTCATGAGAGCAGCTGAAAATATGAGTGTTTGTGGGAGACTGCACTCTAAAGGTGGCATTTCCTTTCAGAGTTTGACTTTCTTTCCGTTCAAGTTCTCAACTAAAAATCAGACTTAACTACACGTCCTTTAGCAAAGAGAAAGAAACATAATAAAAATACAAAAACTGGATTTAAATATATATATATATATATATATATATATTTATTATTTTTTGGACTGAGTGTCACACTAATGTCCGTAGTGAACGTTGTTTGGGAGGGGGTGTTTCGGAGGCGGTGGAGTGGGGGGTGGTCATGAAAAACTGTCAGGTGCTTCGGCCTCCTGCTTAGGTGCTCCTTTCCTTTACGTCGCTA